CCAACAAAAAACCGTTATTCGAAAAAACATTTTATTTATCGGGGGTGAAACGATGGTGGAACATTTCGGAACAAACGATTCTGAGGCGAACCGCGTTGTTTCCCAAATCTTCTTGCGCAGAATTGTATTTTCGAAGTTCGCCAACCCAACAAAACAACCGTTTTTCAAAAAAACATTTCATTCATCGGTGGCCGTGGAACGACGGTGGAACAATTAGGAACAAACGATTCTGAGGCGATTAGCTTTTTTTCACCCCTTTTCGCAGGTTTTTTTTTTGGAAGTTCGCCAACCCCAAAAGAACAATGTTTTGCGAAAAACGCAGTTGTTTATCGGTGGCCGTGAAAAGATGGGGAACATTTTTGGGAAAAAACGATTCTGAGGCGAACCGCGTTGTTTCCCAAATCTTTTTTCGCAGATTTTTATTTTTAAGTTCGCCAACCCAACAAAAAAACCGTTATTCGAAAAAAACACATTTCATTTATCGGTGGCCGTGAAACGATGGTGGAACATTTCGGAACAAACGATTCTGAGGCGAACCGCGTTGTTTCCAACTCTTCTTGCGCAGAATTGTATTTTCGAAGTTCGCCAACCCAACAAAACAACCGTTTTTCAAAAAAACATTTCATTCATCGGTGGCCGTGGAACGACGGTGAAACAATTAGGAACAAACGATTCTGAGGCGAACCGCGTTGTTTCCAACTCTTCTTGCGCAGAATTGTATTTTCGAAGTTCGCCAACCCAACAAAACAACCGTTTTTCAAAAAAACCATTTCATTCATCGGTGGCCGTGGAACGACGGTGGAACATTTCGGAACAAACGTTTCTAAGGCGAACCGCATTGTTTCCAACTCTTTTTGCGCAGATTTGTATTTTCGAATTTCGCCAACCCAACAAAACAACCGTTTTTCGAAAAACACATTTCATTCATCGGTGGCCGTGGAACGACGGTGGAACAATTTGGAACAAACGATTCTGAGGCGATTAGCATTATTTTCACCTCTGTTTACGCAGGTTTTTTATTTGGAAGTTCGCCAACCCAACAGAACAACTGTCTTACCAAAAACGCAATTGTGTTATCGGTGGCCTTGAAACGATGGTGGAACATTTTGGAACAAACGATTCTGAGGCCATAAGCATTATTTTTACCCCTTTTTACGCGGTTTTGTGTTTTGGAAGTTCGCCAACCCAACAATACAACTGTTTTGCGAAAAACGCAATTGTGTTATCGGTGGCCGTGAAACGATGGTGGAACATTTCGGAACAAACGATTCTGAGGCGAACCGCGTTGTTGTCAACTCTTTTTGCGCAGATTTGTATTTTGGAAGTTCGCCAACCCAACAAAACAACCGTTTTTCGAAAAACGCATTTCATTTATCGGTGGCCGTGGAACGACGGTGGAACATTTCGGAACGAACGTTTCTAAGGCGAACCGCGTTGTTTCCAGCTCTTTTTGCGCAGATTTGTACTTTCGAAGTTCGCCAACCCAACAAAACAACCGTTTTTCGAAAAACACATTCCATTCATCGGTGGCCGTGGAACGCCCGTTTAAAAAAGATCGTGCCGAGAATGTGTCGAAATGATGTCGAAATGATGCCGAAGTGTCCGGCATGCCCTGAATGATGCCTAAATGCGCTCGGCAACACTGTTATCCAAGTTGTGATACTTTCAACACAAAAACGCGTGATAATATCCTAAATGTGATTCCCACGAATCATTGCTCCCCAGATGCGATGACTCTTGTATCACAAAATTTTTGCAATGATCATCGCACATTTCTGCAATGAAAGTAGGAATTATTGCACAAAAATGCGATGATGGCAACACAAAATCTGCATTCAATACAGTTTTTCGCAATGATCATTGCAAAATTCTGCGATGCAGCAGCTCGTCACACCTGTTTGCAATAATCATCACAGAAAAGAGCGATGAAATTTGTATCGCGCTGAAAGTGCGTTCTGCATCGCAGATGAAATAACCGTGAAGCCCGAAATCAACCCGCCGCCGGCACGCGGCAAGCCCGAAATGAGCCCCGCTGTCGCGGGCGGCCCGGAATCGAACCGCGACCCCGGCCGCTGCCCGGCCGGGTGGATTTCGGGCGTGCCCGTGCCTTTCGGCATGATTCCGGGCATGCCTGGGCATGCGCCCCGCATCGAGACCCCAATCAAAGAAGTGTCAAGTTAATGTCTTTGACCTGCGTACAAAATTGAAAAGTTAAAATAATGAAATTCTTTCTTAAGTACCAAGTCTACCAAAACCGGCGTGAAAAATTAGAAAATTCCGTGCAAACGAGATGTTTGTAGGACAATTTTGAATTCTTTGACTGAACAAATCTACAATCAAATTGAACACTTTGATACGGGTACTTGAATGAATGCAGTTGAATCCGTTGAGCTTCTGATGCTTAACAGCCTTAGCAGTAACTTTAGCTTGCATCCTAAAGAAAAGGTCTATAGGGCTCTCAATAAAATGAGCCGCGGGGCAAGGGTACTTCGAGTACGTGGATTATAAGGAAGCGAAGAACCGGGTTTGCGTGTAAGAGCCAGCACCCCAATAACCGGGTTTGGGAGCCTCAGACCTGGGTTTCCAGTGGGCCTGGATCTGCGGGTTGACTAGTCCACACGCAGTGCTCCAGTACCTACGCTCACGTTCACCAAGTCTGTTGTTAGATCCAAGTGCCCAGCTCAACCCACGCACCTTGTCCAAAAGTCGAGGGGCTCTCCGCGAGTAACGCAAGAGTCTCACGGGGGTTACGTATTCGTCAAGACACAGGGCTCGCCGCGTGCTCCTCCGCCAGCAGCGTGTCTCCCCCGCCCCCTCCAGTGCCGCTCGGGGTCGAGCGAGCTCGCTGGAAGGCATCGGGAGCCTGAGGCCTCCTCCCCAGGTCTCCTCCGTGGTGCAGTTGGCAGCGTCTCGGTCCACAAAGACGGTCGTCCTGGGTTCCAATACTAACCAGTGTTTCTCCTTCAGCGTTCTGTGTACGTGTGTGTGTATGTGAGTGTGTAAATGTGAGCCTGTGTGTGTACGAGTGTGCCTGTGTGCGAGACTGAATGGGCACCGCCATCCAGGTACCTCCCCCTCCCCTGCAGCTTAATGGGAGGGACGGTTCGGAACGTTTTCGGCATGCCCGGCAAGCGTCCGGCATTGCCGAAAATCGGTTTGTTTTCCAACAAAATGATCATTTTTCGGCAAGCCCGGACTCCTGGTTCGGGGCGGATTTCGGGCGTGCCGGCCGGGCATGCCCGAAATCCTGCCGTCATTCGGCACGATTTCGGGCAAGATCATTTTTAAACGGGCGACGGTGGAACAATTTGGAACAAACGATTCTAAAGCGATTAGCATTATTTTCACCCCTGTTTACGCAGGTTTTTTATTTGGAAGTTCGCCAACCCAACAGAACAACTGTTTTGCGAAAAACGCAGTTGTGTTATCGGTGGCCGTGAAACGATGGTGGAACCTTTTGGAACAAACGATTCTGAGGCGAACCGCGTTGTTTCCAACTCTTTTTTCGCAGATTTGTATTTTCGAAGTTCGCAAACCCAACAAAACAACCGTTATTCGAAAAACACATTTCATTTATCGGTGGCCGTGGAACGACGGCGGAACATTTTGGAACAAACGATTCTAAAGGCGAACCGCGTTGTTTCCAACTCTTTTTGCGCAGATTTGTATTTTCGAAGTTCGCCAACCCAACAAAACAACCGTTTTTCGAAAAAAACGTTTCACTTATCAGTGGCCGTGGAACGACGGTGGAACATTTCGGAACAAACGTTTCTAAGGCGAACCGCGTTGTTTCCAACTCTTTTTGCGCAGATTTGTATTTTTGAAGTTCGCCAACCCAACAAAACAACCGTTTTTCGAAAAACGCATTTGAGTTATCGGTGGCCGTGAAACGATGGTGGAACATTTTGGAACAAACGTTTTTAAGAAGAACTGCACTTTTTCTGGGTCGATTTGTGCATTTTTACTGGTTTGAAGCTGGCCAGCTTGTTATCGAAAAACGATAACGAGCCTGGAGCCGCCCTCGTTGAGGAACAAATTGGAACAATTGTGGAACATTTTGGAACAAATCATTCTGCGTCGATTTGTTGTATTTTGAACCTTCTTTGGTAATGTGGGTTGGCCAACTTCAGGGAGGTCACTGGGTGACGTGCTCTGCTTGCAGTCTAGCTTAGCAGCCACTACACTTGAAGAACGGCATAAAATTACGTTTTACACGGTAAAAACGTCCCCTTGGTATTTAAGGGGATTTTTTCAAATCCAAGGGAATAAAATTAAGGGACTCCCTTAAAATTGAGTGTTGATTTCAAGGCACTCCCTTGAAAATTGATAAAAGCAAGGGACTCCCTTGGAAGTTCGGGCTGGGGACGCGGACATGAAAGTGAGGTTTCGGCACTGCTTGTTTTCACGATTAGTTTTTACGGTATCAATAGCTTCTATTGTTTTTCTTGCTTTGACAACTGAACGAAATCAACACCTATTATCACGCAAACAATCCCAATCCCCCATTTCACAAAATATGAAAGGTCAAAGTCGCGAGGTGTAGCGGCAACATTTCAAGCGGCTTGCTTAGAAAACTACAGAATTCCAAGCGAGTCCCTTGGAATTACTCAAACCGACCAATTTTTAAGGGGACCCCTTGGAATTTGAGCTAATTCCAAGGGACTCTTTTGGTTTTGCTAGATCCCGGGGATTCCAAGGGGACGTTTTTACCGTGATAGCTCTACCAGTGTATGATTCGCTCATCAAAACTGCGCAACGCATTGCCAATGACGCGCAGAAACGTCATAAGATCGTCATAACCTCAACGGGAGTCAGGCGCTGCGTTGTGATGTCGGAAGTAGAGACACCCTGAGTGCCTTAGCGAGGTGTGACTCAGCCCTGCTATCTGTGGCCATCTTCAGCCTGTGGCACTTCAGAATCAGCAGATAGGAGCGCCCCGACGATTTTTCCACGGTACGTACTTTTCTGCAGCCTACCGAAAAGAAACAAGTCAATATAACCGAAGGCTGCGCACGCCGAGGCCAGTACTTCGACGTAGCTACTTGCTGTGAAGTGCCAGCATGTGGTTGTCCTGGCTGCTCTGTCTGTCCGTGCTGAGCGTGGACGCAAGGGGGAGTCTCGCCGGCAGAACATTCGATGGCCCGACCATCGACATCCCGGAGGGCTTCCTCATTGGCGCCGGCTCGGCAGCTTTCCAGATCGAGGGGTCGGAAAACGCAGATGGTGAGTAGCACACACTATTTCAACCGAATGTGATATTTGTTAGAATGTAATTTTGTCACGTTCGCTTAGGAGTAGGTTAGGGAAGAAAAGTGCAGGGTGAGAAAACGCACAACCCCATGGCCTGCAGTTATCCTCGTCGTCCTTTTGATAGGGATTCCGCCTTCGGATTTTCATTTCAATTCATTTCAACTTAAGTTGGAATTACTCGAAATAACTCAAAGTCAAGACATCAGTTCTATGACGGTGCACTCTTCTTACCCTGTAGTGCTTTCCTTCCCCATCGTACCCCTTAATACGATGTCACATTCGTTCGAGTGTTGATCCACGACAACGTTATCAGACGATCGTGCCACGTTCAAACAAATGTGGCATCGTATTTAAGCGAACGTGACAATAAATATTCCAATGAAAATAACATTTTGATTGTTAAGGCAAGGGCCCAAGTGTGCTGGATGGTCTGGATACGAAGGGGGCGGCAGACTCCTATCGTCGCTACAAGGAAGACGTTCGGGCAATAAAAGATCTGAAGGTAAGTCAGAAATGTTGACTCCTATTGTGACTTGTATCATAACTTATTTATTTTCCGATGTGCTCTTTCCGGACCAAATTTAAAGTATGTGCCAATAGGATAGAGGAAGATGCCTATGAACTTGTAAGGTCATAGGTGGGCTCTGTCCTGAGCTGTGCGGGTGGTAAAAGTGTGTCTATTGCGACTTTTTTTGGGGGGAAACTTAACTTTTCTTCCTATTGCATAAATTCAACGCCTCCACGGAGAAAATAACCCTTCAGTAATCAAAGGGCGTCCATAATTAAAAAGTTTTTTTTTCGTGTGCTGAAACGAACCACTGGTTGTATCCAATCTTATGCAACTTGGGAACAACCATCAATTAATAACACATACATATAAATAGAGTCTAGGTAGGACCTCTATGATTGTCGCACCTCTCTTCCTTAAAGACACACATGTTTTATATAATGTTGGTCCAGGCACCCCAGTCCAGTCTCATCCTCAAACATATTTTGTGCCCATTAGATATGGAATCACCCGAATATCCCGTCCAGCGCACTAAATTACTTTGAAATTTTTTGTGCATCAGCTTAGCACAAAATGGAACATCCGTTTCGATAAGCACGAATTTCATCCGCAGCAACGCACACTTTCGTGCTTAATTACGCCAAAATTCGTACATTTAAAAACGCATGCTCAATTTTGCGCGAAGCTTATTCACCGAAGTACACATACTATTGTACATTTTTGTGGATAAGCTTTGCACAAAATTGAGCATGCGGTTTGAGATGCACGAATTTGTGCGTTACTACTAAGCACGAAAGTGTGCGCTGTTACACATAAAATTGGTGCGTATTTAAACGCATGTTCATTGTTCAATTTTGTGCAAAGCTATGCACAAAAAAGAATATAAAAAATCACTGTGCATAGTAATTTGGTGGGATCCAGTACTGAATGAACCAATCTACGTTCTCTTTCTCAAGCTGCAAGCTTACCGGTTTTCCGTGTCCTGGCCGCGCGTCCTGCCTGACGGCGACAGCAAGAAGCCCAACCAGGCTGGCGTCGACTACTACAACAACCTCATAAACGAGCTCATCGACAACGGCATCCAGCCAATGGTGAGAGTCGTTACAAGTATTTCGTTCCTTGGGAAAATTTGTGCTCCATTGATTTGAACTAGTCGCTTCAAATGTTGCGAACACTAATTGGATGACTGAAGGGGTCTATTGCGGACAATGAATTCCTAGTCCGATTGGACTGCTAGCAACTTTCAGAGATGTGAGTTTTTCTACTGACAAGTTCCTTTGTTCTCTGTGCTAAATAGATTGGGCATTAACAAAGGTACCTCTCAAACAAAGTTGCTGCAGGTCTCTTCGGAAATTCTCAAGATTCTTCATGAACTTGTGAACAATCTTCGGGAATTTGCGAAAGTTCCTGCGGCAACATTACAGAAGAAGCTCAACTATTTGGTAGAATTTTGCAGTGTATTATGAGGACGCTAGATTAGACCAGCTCTTATTTTGCGAAAGTGAGAATTCCGCTGGGTTTGTAGCAGCGGTAAGCGTTTGGGTTCCCAAGTCTGACTACCCCGACAAAAGTGTTGACTGAATTTGAATTTACCCGGGTCCACTCAGGCAGCAGAGTGAGGGCGCTTAGCCGTACAAGACAAAACTAAAAGTGAAAAGTTGATAAAAGTTTGGTTTGAAATGAAAAGAGGGAAATTTACAATGTAGCAACAATGAATAAACAAAGAGAAGGAAAAAACGATTTGTTTACATTGACATTTTAATGAGACTAAGTTTGCAGGGTTTACTTTAAAATACAAGTTGAAGTTGTTGAGAATAACTATTGAATTTAAGAAACAACACACTATATTAGAAGGCAAACCATACACAGTAAGACAACAACTAGAAGTTTGGAAATTTAGAAGTTAATACAGTAAACAAACGTCTCAAAATCAAAATATTGACAGTGAATTTAACTTTAATAAAACTCTGAATGAAACAACACTAACTCAAGTACGCAGACAAATGTCTACACTATCAATATAAAAACTAGGAAAAACTCATAAAAATAAATCAACAATAAATAACGCTCACAAACTTGACAAGACACTAAGATTTACAGTCTCAAAAACTCTCAGTGAAACCGAGACACAAACACAACTACTTTCAAGAAACTTTAGAGCGCAGATGCAAAGTTCACCAACAGTACAAAGAGCGTTTCAAATAAGCACTATAGAACCAGCGCAGAAAACTAAAATCCCAATCGTACCAGCGACAAGAAATAAAAACAACCAAGTTGCAATTTAGCAACTATAAAATACTAAACAAAATGGAAGGGCTAATAAATCCCAAATAAAAACCTTATGTCAGAAATCGACAAGGCAACTCGATACCCCCCTGCAACAAGCAGCTATCTACGCTCACTGTCTCGATAACCGACTATCTACGCGCGCTCTCCCGACAACCGGCTATCTACACGGGCTGTCTGGATAACCGACTATCTGCTTTCTCCACCTCGCGAGATTGAATGCTTTTATTTATCCAACCAATTAAGTTGCCCTCGCAAAACCTTTACCAAAACTTGTCAAAAGTTTGTCAAAGCAAGATTAAGTATGGTTTAAACGGGTCGCTTTAAGTATCATGGAGAAAAATACTTCGTTATCCGACAACCCTAACCTCGCTACGATGTTGGATAGTCGGTTATCCAGACAGCCCATGTAGATAGCCGGTTGTCGGGAGAGCGCCCGTAGATAGTCGGTTATCGAGACAGTGAGCGTAGATAGCTGCTTGTTGCAGGGGAGTATCGAACTCCAATCACAGAGCTATGAAAAATAGCATCACAACAAATGCCTAGACAAACACATGTCCTATCAATACACTATCAAGAAAAACCGCAATATATAACGGCAAACCAAATTAATTTACAAACACATACAGATCACAGCGACACAACACTGGAAACAACAATCACAACAGTTTATCGGCGACAGGAACACAAGACAAAATCACATAAACGTGATGCCGAATCCTACAGACAAAACATTTTTACAGTGGCACAGACAATAACAACAACATTACAGTGACTTCACAGCAGCTCCTTTCACAACACGGTCACCTAACACAAAACACTTATGGGCCCATAAGAAAGATTGAAATAAATAATATTTGACTCACCAAGGTCGACTTCACAGTGTACACAAACTTCTCCGCTGGCCAGCAACACACACACACATTCACAAAACAGTGGTTTGCAAACCAATTTAACAGTGTGGGCTACGCCACAACAACACTAAAATTTACAGCACTAAAACTAATAGGCTGTCCTCGAAGCACAAGCACTAGCACAAGATCATCACAGCACTGCACAGTCTTCTTGCACACTTGAGCTTGGATTTCTCTGTACAGTGTACTGTACACACAGCGACGAGGCAGCGGGGTTCCTTGGCGGGCGTGGTGCGACGGAGCGGCGAGCGGCCGGCTCACGTCATGGCGCACAGTGGGCTAAAACGCCCTTTTAGACGCTCAAAACCTACATTTCAGCCATTTTCGATCGTATATGTTCCAAATTTGGTACAGACCCTCTTTTGGTCTTACTTTATAAAATTTTGAACAAGCGGCGGCAAGTGTGACCTTATCTCAGCCGTGGTTCACCGAAAATTGATTTAGTATAATCGTATTTTTATGTTGTATATTTCTGAGTCTGCGGGAGCAGTCTCTCTTTCCACTAGATCAATGCAAAACATATTGTTGTTTTTAAATGTAAATTTCAGACGAATTAATTGAAAACTGCTTAAAGGAGTCAAAAAGGAGTCAAAAACATTACTTAAATTATATGTACGTTCTGAAAAACATTACTGTAAAAAATCATGGCTACAGATTTTATAACAACTGTCAAACTTCAATTTCCTAAAACCAATTTTTAAATGATATATCATTTTACTCTTCATGGAACAATAACATGGCAGGCTCATTAGCCTGGTCATCAAAGGGGCCAACTATAAGTGAAAGAACTGTGGCACACAGTTTTTAAGACTTGGCTTTAGGTTTTTTTTCTGAAAGAGCTGATCACAGAATCAGATGAAACATAATTGCAGTCAGAAGATCTGCATTCCCATCAATTCTGTTGCACTTCCCGGTGGCCTTTTCTTGAGTGTTAGTTGAAGAGAAGGGGCAGGGGGGCTAGGGAAAAGGAGCCAAATAGCACGTGAAAAGACAAGGGACGGTTGGGATGGAGACACGGTTGCTTGGATTCTTTCTTCGTTGGGACGCATTTTCTATCAAAAAGGGGAAAATTGCCAATTTTTTAATGTTTCACAGCCGCGTATTACTGTTTGCGCAAATATGCGCAGGTTTTCTCTGTTGATCCTTTCAATTGACACATAGGTTGATAATTTCCAGCGCTGAAACCTGCTTGATAGTGCTTGATTCTATAGTAGATCTCAAACTTTTGTTTTTAAAGTAAAAATTATACAAATAAAGCGATTGTATGCACACCAACACCCTTCAAATTATCGCAGGAAGGTAACTCGGATATCATTTTGAACGGGAATACTTGTTCTTTAAAATGGAACCTCCGGAGGTTCAAAATCTAGATGCAAAGCCGTCAAAATCGCTGTGGCGTTTTGTTGCATTTTTTACTAAAAATAACACATTATCACAAGTTTTAACTTTGACGGCCTGTAGTGGTCGTAGTTTTGGTCTGACAATAAAAATAAGACCAGATTTGAAATCTGCGGAAAATTTCCTATCCGATGAAGACAAAGTTTGCCCGTTTAAACGATTTTTAATAAAGAGGTTTTGAGCGCCTAAAAGGGCGTTTTAGCCCACTGTGTGGCGTCGGCTCAGTCGGGCGGCATCGCAGGGCAATCAGGCTACCTCAGCCTCTCATCTTGAAGCCCTGAGAATGAAAGGTTTTCTCAGCAAAAGCAACGCCAAAACAACAAGCCGTTTCTCCGCCAGCACGGGAAACCCACCTCGGAAGGGCACAAGCAGGAAGCGTAGTCCAAATTCGGCGAAGTCATGGCGAGGAACTTGTCAACACACTCGCGGACAGCACGACCGGCTGGGTGGCACGGGTCGGCGTGGGTCGGCACGGACAGGTGGCTGCGTCCGGCGCGCGTCAGAGTCGCTCCGGTGACTGACGGCTGAGAGCTCAGCGGCGTGGGACTGAGGAGTTCAGTTTTTGTCCGCGTGGAGGCGCTGGTGTCGCCAGGGACGGCGGAACGCGTCGTTGAAGGCGGAGCGCGCAGCGCGCGGGCGATTCAAACAGTCCTTTCGTCTCTCTGGCACGGAGTATCGTGACAGGTTCCCCGACTCAAAATGACCGAAATGGTGAGAAAACTCTTAATTTGAAAGCCCAAGGTCGTCAGACTTACCAAAGCCGTGCCCCAAGACCCTATATAAAGGCAAAAAGCCAATTATTTTTTTTCGGATTTTCACCAAACTAAGTTTGACTCTAGGGTAAACAGGCCATAAAACGACCCTTTGGGCGAAAATTTCGTCCGTTTTGCGATATCTCGACTCCTTCATGCCCAAACGGCCTCCCCAACCGCCCGCGCGGCGTCTTTTTTATGCTCACGGTTGGGGAGGCCGTTTGGGCATGAAGGAGTCGAGATATCGCAAAACGGACGAAATTTTCGCCCAAAGGGTCGTTTTATGGCCTGTTTACCCTAGAGTCAAACTTAGTTTGGTGAAAATCCGAAAAAAAATAATTGGCTTTTTGCCTTTATATAGGGTCTTGGGGCACGGCTTTGGTAAGTCTGACGACCTTGGGCTTTCAAATTAAGAGTTTTCTCACCATTTCGGTCATTTTGAGTCGGGGAACCCAGCGGAATTCTCACTTTCGCAAAATAAGAGCTGGTCTAACGCTAGATGCTTTGCAGGCATGCGACTTGCGAGCTGTGTTCCTCGCCTTCACGGTACGAGCCCTTCTTCCTTCTTCTTCCAGATTACCATGCTCCACTACGACCTCCCCTTGGAGGTGCGAAAGAAAACGGGAGGTTGGACGGATCGGAGAATGGTTGACGCCTTTGCTGAGTACGGCGACTTCCTGTTCGAGAATTTCGGTGACAGGGTAATTGCTTCAGAGCATTACTCAACGCAGATGACCGAGGAAACACTACAAACTGAAACTGAGAAGTACACACTTGCAAATGCACCCCTCGGGAATAGACGCACTTACGACTGCATGCTTGGCCCCGTCACTCCATGTGCTTGCACACTGGTAAAACTGGAGCGTAGTTGTATGCTTCATTGAAGCATACAACTACGCTTGAAGACTTAACGCTTGACGTCAAGCGTATGCATTTAGATAGGCGGGAGAGAGGCGAAATGGAGAACTACGCTTGAAGCCGAGCGTAATTCTACTACGCTTGAAGAAAGGCGTAAAAGTACGCTTGAGTTCTACCAGTGCAATGCTTGCCAAGCATGAAGTGGTAAGTGTGCACCTGAGGTATGCATTGGTGAGGGCGTGCACACTTAACGCATTTGTACTATTTTGTACGTGGTCGCACACAATATAAAAGTTGCGAACTTTGTCGAATTCGTGCGATTCTGCGCCCAAATTTATTCGAAAAGCACGCATGTGCTGTGAGACCATGTTCAAAAATAGTACAAAGGAATTCGGAGTATATCTAATAAGCAGTCAGGTTTGCAGTGAAGCTGTGCGCTGACTTAGCGATGACTGGTTCCGAAACAGGTGAAATTGTGGACCACCGTCAATGAGCCTAACTACTACTGCATGAGCAGCGCCATGGGAGGAGGTGGCCAGAACCCTGGCGATGACTACAAGTGCGTGCACCATGTCATCCTGGCGCACATGAAGACGTACCGGATCTACCAGATGAAATATAAAGCAATCCAACAAGGTAACCCAGATTTCCCTCTCTTATGCTCTGAATGAGATCGGTCATGTCCCTATGAATATCATGCTAAGTCAGTCTGGAGAGAACGGTTCTCTATCTGTTTTTACTGCCTGCTTCTTATAGCAGACGCCGATTTGGGGGGGGGAATCATTTTTTGCCTATTGACAGCGGTAAAGTGTTGCATCTTGCCTATCTTTTAGGCGGCAATCTAACAGGGGGGGGGGGATTGTCCTTTCGCCCCTCCTCTGGATCTGCGCTTGGCAGACGCATTTCTGTTAGCAACCACAGTACTTTGTTGTTTTTCAAAGCATTACTTGGCAACTTCTTATTACCGTACTAATGACGGTTTTTAAGGGGGGACCCTGGTGAAACTTTCAAGTAGGCTTCAAAATAATCCCAGGAAGTTGCAACTTTGCTTAAGGGGGGGGTAAAGTGAAGAAAATCGATTTTCGGTTTTTGCTTTTTTTCGACTCTTTGGGCCTTGGTACAACCAAACCTGACCATATTTCGACCCACAGCACCGTCAAATCGGCATAGGGAGCTTCTAATTCGTACAATCACTGTGAGGTTAGGTTAGGCCCTTTAACTTTAAACCGGTTTTCCTCGGTATCTTTTTTTTTTACCTTGCGCGCAGGATATCTCGGAGACCGTAAGAGGTAGAATGTTGTGCGACAGCTTAAAATGTTCAGTGTTCAAATAGCTAGAAGACAAGGGGGAGTTTTTTTCAAAATTTTGTCTCAATCTTTAGTTACAGGTCAATGAATGTCCAAAAGCGGCATAAAAACAGTCATGATTCTAGTTTTTAA